CCTTTTTTGTGACAGATTTGTTTTGAGATAGGGTCTCAATAGCTATTTGCCCAGGCTGGCTTCGAACTGAGATCCTCCTGATCTCTGCCTCCTGAGTAGCTAGGATTACAGGCGTGAGCCATCAATGCCCAGCTATTTTTCTTACTGTCTTAAAACTGAAATAGGTATATTGCAGCATTACTTGAGAATATATCCTTTTAAGTCATACTCGGTCATTTACTGCATAGGGTTTATGACACATTTGCACACAGAGGGCGGAGCGGGGGAGCAGAGGGAAAGAAGTGGCATTGCAGAGCTGGGCTCTATCTCTTAAAGCATTTGTGTAAAGTACAACTTTTTGTCGTTAGGAAGGAGAGGAGAGCATATTGAGGAATGCATAGCATGCTGATCGAGGAACTCCATGCTTCTAGAGTAGACGTCTTTTGGGATGTCTTCCCAGCTCACAGTGGATCACCCTTCTCTGCAAATGACCCCCTAATCTTCTAGACCATCAGTTGTGTGGCATCCAGAAGCCCAATTTATACTCCAAAACCCCCCAATATGAGGGTTCATGTTGGACTAGATGACCTAGAATCTAGACAGAGGGCTGGCAGGACGTTCTCAGTGTGACTTGTCCTGTACATGTAAATCTAGAAGCTTACAACTTTCTCCTAGATGACTGACACATGAAGAAGTCAAACTCTATAGATAAGAGCAAAAAAAAAAAGATGTAAAGATAGAAAATTAGAGGTAATCTGGGAAAGTGCTGTGGGCTGTCCAGTTCAGGGTTCAAGACATCTTCTAATGATTGACTAGATTCTGGCCTTCCTCACTTTTTTTTTTTTAGTCATACTAGAGTTTGAACTCAGGGCTTTGTACTTGTAAGGCAGGTACTCTACTGCTTGAGCCACACTCCAGTCTATTTTGGTCTTATTTTTGGAGACAGAGTCTCATGAACCTTTTCCCCAGGCTGGCCTCTAACCTCATGGATTAACTAGGATTACAGGCATGAGCCACCAGCACCAGAGAAGATTTTGTGGAAATGATAATGAATGTACCTGGAGAACCAAACTCAGAAGACCACAGTGGTTACAGTGAACCAGATTATACCTCAGAAATGGTCTGATTAGCATACAAAATGTTGCTATCCCCCACTCATAAATGTTGCCATGCATAACTTTGATACACCTATCACTGAACATGGGGTACAAACAACAGCTCTGTGGCTACTGTGCCCCAAGAATCCATCTTACTATAATGGATGTCACTATCAGAAAAAATTCTTCCTGGTCTCCCTTTCTTTATGGTAAAGTCTGAGTCAGGACAGTATGATAGGCAGTCACATGCCTGCATCTTAGCTGCAAGGGGAGCTGGGAAATAATTATCCTGGGTTTTCTGTTCTATAGGGAGAACAGGTTCTTTTCCAAGAATTATGAGGTAAGGTATTACCTATGCTTCTTTGGAAGGGGTTACAACTATTGAGAAGCCAAAAAGAGTGATAAATACCTACTAGAATTTGCCCCTCCTGACCAGGCATGGTGGCATACAGCTATAATCCCAGCCATTCAGGAAGTTTGAAGCCAGCCAAGTTATCGAGATCTCACACAGCAAGACAGGCATGGTGGCATGTGCCTGTAATCCTAACTATGTGTGAGGCATAGGTAGGAGGATCGAGGTGTAAGGCCAGCCCCTATCTGAAAAATAAAGCAAAAAATGGCTGGGATGTGGTTCAAGTGGTAGAGCACCTGCCTGGCAAGCACAAGGTCCTGAGTTCAATCTCCAATATTGTCAAAACAGCATCCACCCTCCCCATTGCACATTAACATCTGCCCCTTCTTACCAACTTACCCTTCAGTACAAAAGAAATTCTTTGGCCTAACATAATGCAACTTTTCTTTTCACAATAGGGGAACAACTCAAGATCCCATCTCGGTCCATACCCAGGACATTCTTTGTTCCAATCAGGATTCCATCATGACATTCTGGAACTTTTAATCAATCATGGAAAACTGGCCAATAAGTATATAAAGTATGGATAAAGGGAGAAGAAAATAAAGCTGGCTAAGAGAAACAAACACATAAATATAAGAATGAAAGCCTGAGTGGATGCTGTCATCTTTATTTCTGTGGTAGCCACAAACTCTTAGTGGATATGACTAATTTAGCTTGTCCAAAATCTGATTCATGTTCCCTTTGTCTTTTGCCACTATCTCAACAGTTCAGGACTGTTGGGGATTTTGGCTTGATACAGTTACCCAAACCTTTCACATATCAGATACTTGACTTCCTTACAGTCCTGAGAACAATTCAAGATTGTTCTCACATCTCATTAACTGCAGCACTGGGCATGGCAATTCCATAATCCTCTCAAGGAAGTCTTTCTATCCACAAGCAAAACTATCTTCTATTGATTGTCAAAGTCATAAGATACTAAAATCCTAGAATTCCCTCTTTTGGTAAGTTTATCCAGTAACAAACAGAGCCCAAATCAGGCAGCAGGAAGTCTTTTCGGTGCCCTGTGTTGCTGGGGTAAGAAATGAAATTATGTAAGCACTGAACATTTGTCCCCTTGAATCTCTTTGTTTTCCTGCCCAGTAACTTCCTGATTGGAAGAAAGTTTAGCATATGTTGTTCATTGGTATGACTCTTACACTGAATCATGTAAATCAGCACCCCAAACTTACAGGGTAGCTTCAAATGGTACCCAAACTTTAAAAGGCTACTTCACTATTCTACAAAGCCAGCCGCTTCTGGTGATGGTGTATGAGTAGACACCAACGACTCCCATAGACACCAGCCTTACCTCTTATGTTATTTGTTGTTGAGGAACAGATTATTTCTAAAACTTGGCAGCTTCAGACAGTTAACGTTCATGTTATATAGATCCGCGGGTCAGGAACCTGGCAGTGGTTTAGCTGAACGGCTCTGAATCCGAGCTTCTCATGAGATTGAGGTGAAGTTGCCAGCAGGGGCTCAGTCATCTAAAGACTCAGCTGGAGGGTCAGCCTCCAAGAGGGCTCCTTCACATTCCTGTTGACAGGAAGCCTCAGGTCCCCGCGTGGACCTCTCCATACAGCTCACTTGATGTGTCCTCACAAAGGGTAGCAGACGTCCTCCAAAGCAAGTGATGCAAGAAAGCCAGAGGAAGCCACAGTGTCTGTTACAACCTCTCCAGAGGTCACACATTCTTAAACTCACATTTGCTTACACCATTATCCCGGTGTAATGAGGGAAGAGGTGACACAAGGCTGGACTGTTTGGGAGGCATCATAACAATGACCACCATGTCCATCTTATTAGAAAGTGTGTTCCAGGCTGGTGGACTGGCTCAAGTGTAGAGCGCCTACCTAGCAAGCATGAGGCCCTGAGTTCAAACCCCAGTGCCACCAAAATAAAGTTGGTTTCATGGTTAGAGACGATGTTGGTGGGATGTCACACTGATGGATAAATCCATCCATTCCTTGCGCACTCTGTCTCTCCATCTCAGCTTGGTTGAACACCACTTTGTGTACATGGGAGACCCTTTTCTGAGAGTGCACACAGCCCCACTTACCAGTGTACCATCCCACATGATTGCTTTTGTCCTATCATCCTGACTACGAATAAAGAGAAGCCTGGGATGTCATGAGGACCCTGAGACTGACTCACAGGCACAAATCTTAGTATTGCCATTAGGTCTTCAGCATAAGCCACTGTGTACAGAGACTAATGCAGGGGTCAACACTGTCCACTAGACTGGAAATTTTGGTAACTTAAAAGAGCTATTGGGAAACATAAACATGCACAGAAATCACCTGGGAGGGATTTAAAATGAAGACTCCAGGATGTGCGGGACAGAGCCTGGGGCTATGCATTTTTAATAGTAACCCAGGTGATGCCTGACCTTGGACCTTGTCTTGAGTTGTAGGTCATTGTAGTCCATGTTGTGTTGCTATTGCAGAACAGCTGAGACTGGATAATAAATAAAGAGAAGAGGTTTATTTGTATCACAATTCTGGCAGCTGGAATATCCATAAAGCATGGTGTTGCTACCTGGCAAAGGCCCCTGGCTGTGTCACAATATAGTATATGTCATCATGGAGAGAGCGTGTGCAAAAGTGACCTTGAAATGGTTAATACCATTTAATGCCAGAGGGAAGCCATTAATCAGGGTGCCATTTTTGCTTTCAAGCTGAAGGAGGTCCATGAAAAGGTCTGGTCCCAGGAAAACGAGGAAAACAGGAGGAACCAAACGAGGATACTGTTAAACAATTGTGTTGATTGTGTTCACTCCTGCTTATAGCTAACAGCCATTGTCTCTATTCTGTACCTGGGCTAGCTTGCTTCACAAAGATCACCAAACAGGATGTGGTTTTTGCCTTTATAAACCCTGCTAAAGGTTAGAAAGGGGCTGCTCTGAGTCCCGAGGACCTGTTGGTCAGAGCAGTCGCCACCTGGCTAATAAAGACTCTCCTTTAAAGTCTTTCTTGGGTGGTCGAGCCTCATTCTAACTTGTAACAACCTGCAGCATGTGCAAGAGTTCTTATGACCACAGAGAAAGCAAGAGACAGAGGGGCCAGGCTCACTTATTTATAACAACTTGCTCTCACAAGACCTAATTCAGCCCTTCAAGAACTACATTAATCCTTTGCAAATATGGTCTAATCACCATCCACTAGTCCCCATCTATTAAAGATCCAACACTTCTGAATTCTGTTACATTATGGACCTTTAGTAGGTAAACTATAGCCAAAAGGGGGAAAGGGTTCCTTACTCTGAGAAGGGCCCAGTCCACCTACACCTGTTTACATGCTGAAGACTCCCAGCCAGTTCACCTTTATAGAAGCTGTCCAGAGTGTAAGTCAGCCATTCAGCTCCTGATTCCCCACCTATGGAAGTAGGAGACTAGAACCACCCCCAACATCTCATGACCCATCCTAACTAGAAAGTAGGGGGGAGAGTGGAGAGGCTCATGGGACCCGCCAGCTGCCCAAGTTTAGTGGACACCAACCCTAGTACCTTTCATAGTAAAAGAACCAGAGTCACCAGCTGCACAGCAGACCCCAACTCCACACGGAGATTCCTGCCTGCAGTGCTTCCTGTGAAAGTGGTGTGGGGCGGATACGGTTTGTCTCACAAGGTAGAGACAGACTCTTCTTTCCAGGAGAAAGTCTAGACTCTAAATTTCTCTCTCTAACAGAACATACAACAGGAAATCCGTTACAAAATCCCTGACACTGTGGACAAGACTGACTTTTCAAGTCACACAAATCAGACAACTGACAGGTATGTGCCTGGTAAGCCCAAACCACAGAAACCCCAGGGAAGACCTCAAGTAGTGAGCAAGTAGAACTCAGCAAAGATGGATTCCAAGGAGAAAGGTACCATATGTATAACCCACAAGTGACTATGTGACATTCATGATCCTAGGTCATAGCTGACCCCACTGGACAGATGAGCGTTGGGTCTCTGCCAACAAGTCCCAGTGTGGAACTCCATGATAATAAATGCCAGTGTGAGTGAGTGGAACCACCTGAGTCAAGAAATGTGCCCCAGTTCCCACCCTGCTGTTGATGTAGCTCACACTGATTCCAGTTCTGTGAGCCTGATATCTGCTGCAGTGTAATTTACACTTATGGGGGATCAAATTGCTCAAAGTTGGGAATTAGCCAAATAAATTATTGTACATCCATATCAAGAAATATTATAGAACCATAAGCATCTCGTTATTAAAGCTGTTTAATTACATAGAAAACGGTTAAGTGAAAAAATCAGGATGCAAAGTTGTACAGACAACTTGAGGTCAACTTTGTTTAAAATTATTCATGTATTTTAACAGTATCAGTTATTTGATTTTCTTATATTTTCTGAAATGCTTTACAGTGTGTAAGTATCATATTGCAGTTCTCGAAATATAATTTTAAAGCGTCTGCCTAAGCAGTTATGTCAGATTGAACAATACTAGTCATTTGTCAGAGCCAAACTTCATGCAGCTCACACAAGGTGCACATTGTAGGCCTGTAATTCCCAAACCTCTCACCTCTGTAGAGGGTGAAGCAATAGCAGGGAGAGGAAGGATCAGTAAGCAGACCAGGCAGTCTCACATGTGTAGTGACTCAAATTGGAACTGTCTGGGGAGCCTAGAAGGGAGAATGACAGTCTCAGCTTACAATAATTAGCAAAGGCTTCAAAAAAAGGAGATTTTGATATGTTCTGAAGGTTCTGGTGGGTTTGCTTCCCAGGGAGAGGAAGACAAGGCATCCTGGACAGGTGGGAAACCAAAGGCACTTCTTATACTAGAGATACTCCCACGAGGCAAGGCAGTAAAACTGGCTGATGAGAAACGAAAAATGATGAGAGTTCCTAGGCTTCAGTGTGAAGATCAGGAATGCGATTTATGGCCTAAGGATGGCACAAGGCTTTGGCCCACAGAGAACTGCCAGCGACGCTACTCTTCACCTGTGTTGCCTCCATCCACATTGGACCTCAGCTTTCCCCGAGGGTTTCCAGGCTCACGCTTTCCGGTGAGCCGTCATAAAGGACATCCAAAGCCATGTGATGGTCAACCCAGAAAGGACACAAGGGAAATATCAATACTGAGGCCCCACCCAGACATGGTGACAACTAGTTCAAGTTTGGTCACATGCAGGTGATGGTAACATGCAGCCAGGGTGGAAAGTCACCATGGACTCTCAGAGTACTTCCCGGGGACAGAATAAAAGCATTTGTGATGTGTGGGCTTTGGAAGCAGTCATCACTTAGAAAGGAAAAGCTCGTTCTTGGAGTGTGGGATCAAACCCAGAAAGGAAAACCTTTTTGGTTTTGGTGATGGTGATCAAACCAAGGTTTTGTACAATCGAGATCAGTTCTCTGCTGTGAGCTACACACCAGCCTGAAAGAAAAAACTTTACTTTTCTGTAAAAGAATTTAAAACCCAATCATTAGAAACAAGTATTGTCACTGTTTTTTTTGAGACAGGGTCTCACTTGTAGCCAAGATTGGCCTAGAACTCACTCTATAACCAAAGCTGGACTCCAACTTCCAGTCCTCCCCCCTCAATATCAGCACCACCCAGACATGGTGACAACTAGTTCAAGTTTGGTCACATGCAGATGATGGTAACATGCAGCCAGGGTGGAAAGTCACTCTGGATTACAGGCAGCACCACCATGCCTGGCTCTCAATTTATAGGAATAGGGCTGTGCATAAGTGAGAGCTCATGGATAAGTTTCTGATGAATCTATTTACTCTAGTTCATTGAACACTTTGACAAACAGACCACTACATGTCAATGAGATGGCAAAGATTGCCTTGCCTGGGAACAAAAGATCTATGGTGCTGTCATCAGTAAAAGAATATCTTCTTATGCAAAACTTTCTTCAAGGCCCGTTTCAAGTCCCTGTTCCTCAGGCTGTAGATGAAGGGGTTTAGCATGGGGGTCACCACTGTGTACAGCACAGTGGCCATGGTGTCTTTCTCAGCTGAGCGCGAGGATGAAGGGTTGAAATACACAGCGATGATGGTGCCATAGAAGAGGCCGACCACAGCCAGGTGGGAGCCGCAGGTGGAGAAGGCGTTCCACCTTCCCCTGGTGGATGGGACTCTCAGGACAGCACAGGAGATGTGGATGTAGGAAGCCAGGATGCAGACGAATGGGGTGACCATGATGAGGGCACCCTCGGTAAGAATCATCAGCTGGTTGAGCTGTGTGTCCGAGCAGGAGAGTTTCAGGAGGGGAGTCACATCACAGAAGAAGTGAGGGATGGCGTTGTCTGCACAGAATGAGAGTCGAGCCATCAGCAGGGTGTGTAACAGAGAATTTAGGTTGGCCACAATCCATGATCCAGTGACCAGCAGGGCACAGAGCTGATGGGTCATCTTTGCTGTGTAATGTAAGGGGTGGCAGATGGCAACAAAGCGGTCATAGGCCATCACAGCCAGCAGGAAGTTGTCCATGTCAGTAAGCTCAAAAAGAAAATACATCTGTGCGAGACACCCAGAGAAGGAGATGGCCTGAGTCCCGAGGACATGATTGGCCAGCATCTTGGGGACAGTGGTGGAGGAGAAGCACATGTCCACAAAGGACAGGTTGCTGAGGAAGAAGTACATGGGGGTGTGCAGGCGGGGGTCCGTGCTGATGGCCAGGACGATGAGCAGGTTTCCCAGGACGGTGGCCAGGTACATGGTGAGGAAGAGCAGGAAGAGGAGCTGCTGCTGCTGGGGCTGCCTGGAGAGACCCAGGAGGAGGAACTCGGAGACGCTCGACTGGTTGGTGCCTGTCATGACCTGAGCCCAGGAGAAGAGAGGACGGCGAGCTCAAAACCGTGACAGGGTGGTTACAGTGTGCTCAGGCTGTAGTCAGGACCACATCTGCAAATCAGTTCACAGAGTTGCTAGCACTGGATGTTGTCCACCACAGCTCCATGCTATGTACCCAACATTCAGTTTTGAGGCTTTTTGTACTTAAATTCCTCTTGTATATTTAACATTGAAAACCATATAGACTCTAGAACTGCATGTATATCTGCCTGCATTCCTCAATTCTCCCTCCCCACCCCACACCCACCCAACTAGTTAGTAGCTCATGTCAAAAGATGAGAGAAATGGTTGGTTATTAGGTTTATCTTGAGAGGCAACCAGTGGATTCAGGACTCCTATTATAACTTCCTGTATCTGGAAAATAAAGCAAAGGAGGTTCCTAAAAGAACTTCAGTATTAAGAAACAAATGTTGACATGTCCACTGCTGTAACCTTACCTGGGGACGCTGAGGCTATCACTATGCATTGTTCTGGCCAGTGCTGCTCTTTATCTGAGAGATTGTGACACCTCAAAACATGGCAGGTCCTGAGCCAGTGAGGAGCAGGTGTTTGTGGTCTTACTCTTCTGTGCAGGAAAGATGTTCGGGGAAGTCGCAGAGCAGGCACTTACAGGACCCTCTTTGGCCATTGGGACCACATTCCCCAAGAGCCTCGTTAGAGCCAAGAAGAGAAAAACTGCCCCCCCCTTTGGCCCCTTTGGACCAAGCACTGATGGCAAAGAATGTCGCTAAACTTTAGATGTAACTCTTGGGTGAAAACTTAAACACATTAGAACTGAATTCACATGGATGGCGACAAATCTCAGATAAAGTCACTTGGGACTGCACCCCTCATTGCCTTGGTGATCTGATCCTTGCCCACAGATGTTGAAATGCAGGTATTATGTCCGTTTTCTTTCTTTGGACCTGAAAGTATTCCTGTGTTTTCTGTATAGTCTGCTTTCTTGTGTCTGTCATCTTGAGGGACAATTACTAATGCCTTATTGTTTCTGATTTACAGATGGGAGTATTAAGAGCACAGTACTAAGATGGGCTTCATTCATGCATGTGTTTGGGTGAAGAGCAGCTGGATTCTAAAGGAAGTTGTCTGTAGAAGAACCCAGCAAGCCTCCCGGGTAAGATGCCTTTGGGGTATCTCTCTAACTCCCATGGTTCACTCTTTTCTTAGAATGGAATCCCTTAATCCACATAGTCTCACTGTGGTCAGGCCCCAGGAACCATGTTTATACCACATCTCCTCTCTCACACAATACTGGGTTGGACCAGAGTATTTGGGACTAGGACTGAGGGACAACCAGTCCATATCACTATATGGATTGGCCAAAATGTGTAAATCTAACACTCTTTCTGCCCGCCCTGTTCTTATGAAGGAGCAGACAAGGCTAAAGAAGCAAACTCAGGAGCTGGCAGATGGCTCAAGTAGAGAGAGAGAGACAGAGAGAGAGAAAAAAAACTGGGATCCCAATATCCCCTTCTTCAAGGGCATGCCCTTGATGACCTAGCATTCTTCCATTAGGTTCCACCTCATAAAGGTTCAACCACCTCCCAACAGTGGCATCAGCTGAGGACCAAGCCTACAGCATATGAACCTGTGGGGGATATTTATGATCCATACCGAAAGAGTAGCACAGTACAGTATGCACTACAGTACCATGGGTTCCATGGGCAACACAAAGCAAGAGGAATCTGTTCCAGTGAGGGCAGGTACAGAAGGGTAAGGAAAGACTTGAGTCTTGAGCATGAATAGGTGATTTACCTATAGGGAAGATGAGTGTTGGGGAGAAAAGTGCAGGATGAAACTCCAGCAAAGGGAAAGAAGCAACCAGTATTTCTGAAATTAGGGTGGGAAGTGGAGAAAAGGGTCAGAAAAGATAGAGTTCAGTGTGCCCCATCACAGGAGCCTTTGGACAGGGCCACCTCATGTTCCTGATTGCCCATGCCAGCCATGGTTTACATCTGTTGTCCAGGTGTATTTTAATAATTCCCTCTATCTCTTTCAAAAGTGTTCTTGTTGGAATGATAAAGTTTATGGGCTCTCTGAGTTATATTAAGAAGTTTGGATTTTTTTCCTGGGTTGGTGAAAGGACCTTCAATAAAGAGCAGTGATGTGAAGCACTCTCCATTTTACAAAGAGAAATGGTTGCGTGTGAAGGGGGATTTAACTAAGGCAAACCCTGAGGTCACAAGACTCTTGCTAGAATTCAAGCTCAGACCTGAGGCACAAACAGGACATGGAGAATGGAATATTTGTAGACATGCTGAGGAGGTAGCTTGTAGAGTGCTCAGTGATCCATAGTGACAGAATCTATGGTAGCTGGTACCTGGTGCCATTCACTGAGATGAGATGAAGCTGGGAGAAAGGTGTATTTGGGGTGTGTGTGTGTGTGTGTGTGTGTGTTTCAGGATCAATAGCAAGGTGACTGAGAGGTGATGGGTTCCATTTGGACAAGCTGTGTTTGAAGCCCTATATAACAGCTGGGTGGAGAGGCCCCAGAATCAGATGGTACCGATTCTGTGGCTCAGGGTAGGGTCTTACTGCATGTGAATTCAGAGTCATTAGCATATGATTTTATTTTGAGCTGGGATGGTAGTTATCACACACCAAATTCCTGCACCTGCACTAGTTTTAAAACTTATAGGAAATATAAGTTTCTGCTGAGACTAGAATTGCTGGTCTGTTACCAGGGATGTCTGTCTTACCTTATCTTTGTGTCTTTGGTTCCCACCACCCCTCACCTAGAGAGCTGGGTGTTGGAGTTGTGTCTTCCATTTCTCTGTCACCTTTCTGTTGCTTCATGCTTTTCAGCTGTCATGTGCCTCTTTCACAGTTCTCTCCTCTGTTACCCTGACCTTTCTCATTTACAGAGTCAAATGGAAGATGTTTCCAATTCCCCATCTTGCTCTGGGATTTTCTTTGAAATTTTTTCATGCTCTAATACTACTATCCAGTTCTTTAATTTCTCAGGTGCACTGCCATTGTTTACCACTTGGTACTTGAAGTAAGCTAAAATATGGATCTCAGTCCTTCCTGTAACACAGTTATGTGTCCACTCCCTTCCTATGACCTTGTGGCAGATGGAGTGCCCTTCCTGACCATTTGCTTGGGTTTTGGCCACATGAGTTGCTTTGGTCTAAGGATGTCACTGAAAGTGACGTAAGGAGAGACATCGGGAGTCTGTGTCCTGTAACTCCTCAAGAGAACACATCCTCCAGGCATCTACGCCCCCATCTTGAGACCCAGGGAAAAAAAGAACACCAGATGGAAACAGGCAGTAGCCTGGTGCCAATGGTTCACAGTCTGAACTCAGGCGGCTTGCAGGCCAATATAAATGGGGGAGAAGTTACTGCTTTTCTGAGCCACTGTGGCTGGGAGCTTTCTGTGTACTGTTACCATGGTAACCCATTATTGATGTAGTTCCTTTTGAAATTCAGGTCCTTTTTCTGAGACACCCCTTTCTTTTCATTCTGCTTGATTCCTGGCTCCTGCCTTACAGGTCACATTTGCGGCCCATCTTCTGTCACTCCACGATGTTTTTGTCCTCATGGATTTAACTCTTTGATCCTTCCCTTCTCATTCTATGATCTATTCCTGGATTATCGCATACACTCTCAAACTAACTTCAGAGAAGAAAGATTTTGTTGCTCCCCTTATCTCAGGGAGGTATACCAAAGTGCCATTTTGAGAAAGGACCTAATGTTTGAGATTGAGCTATGCTGGGCACTTGAAAACAAGGAGTAGTCATGGATCAGGGAGTCTTAGAACACTCTTTCATAGTCCCTGGGGTAGGAGATAGCCATGAGAAGTCATTGCAAAGAAGAAAAGGGTCTAATGTGAACCCACTCAGAAACTTAAGCAGTGGAGGCTCAGGCAGTGCAGGGTACAGTGGCCCCACCCTTTGGGCAAGGAGTAAGTCCCAACCCCTAAGGATCACTGTGGAATTAGAGCACTGTGCCTTGGTTGGTGGGTTGCTCAGCCTCTTAGAGCTACCTCCCAGCTACACATGTTTGCTGCCAAGTGGGACTGAGAACCTGAGTCCAGGTCCAGTGAATCATGTGATTTCCCCAGTTTCCTAATCCCCCATAGGATGGGTAATTTCTGGGTGGAGTCTGAAAAGACTCCAGGGGCTATCTTCAAAGTGTGTGTGTTGTTGCCAGGCAGGAATGAGATCTTTGAGCCCAGGAATTATGGATTGTGTGATTTTCTCTAACCTCCCCTCTCTCACATGTTGCTTAACTACTAGGCAGGGTCTGAAAGCACTGAGTCTTCTTTCCAGCGTGCCTGAGTCCCTCAGTTCTTCCCTTGCCGGGGAAAAACTCAGTGCTCTGTTTTCTCCATGTGCTCTCCAATCCATTCTGAGGCATGGACAGTTGTTGCCCTTGTAGCACAAACTAGTGGGCTTGTGGGCCAAATGGAAAAATCTTGCAGATTGTGGGCCCAGCCCAAAATCTGCAAAGCTCCTTCTGGCCAGGAGCAGCTCCCTGTACATAAAAAAGGGCAGCTTCTAAAGTGGAAGTAGTCCTGAAGTGGACAACTTAACCCTTGGCCAGCCCCACTCTCAGCACACACATGATAACCTGTAACTAGGAACCACAAGATACTCCAGCTTGCTTCCTCCAATGGAGTGGTTCTGGAGATCAGGCTTGGTAGTGCCTGAACATGTGGATGAATGTTTGTTTGGCTATTGAGCTATACTACCAGACCAGTGGTAAGAAACTGCACTTCAGCACTGCCACTACACAGTCCTACCTGAATATTGAGAATTCTTGAACTTAAACATTACAGGTGATTAAAATTTACAATCATTTGGAATCTTATGTGCAAATTCCAATGCAGAAACACAAGAAATATGGAAAACCAAGGCAATATGACTCCTTCAAAAGTCAAGAACTCCACAATTATGGACACTAATGAGAGCGAAGTGGCTGAAATCCCAGACAAAGAATTCAAAGGAATGATTATAAGAA